GACGATTTCTGAACCCTGATTCTACACCTTGGGCTCATGAGACCGGAATTATAGCCGAAAAACAACAAAAAAATCTTGTTATCTGGAATCTAGACAGGGAAGTAAACTGATTTCCTACCTCCATAATCTCTTGAAATCACAACTTCACTATCTCCGTTCGTCGTACTTCGCTCCACAGTTGCTAACTCGTTCCAATGTTTAAAAGTCCTTTGATAAAAAATTTACAAAGATTGGTACAATTTCAGATGTTGCCTGTTGTACTATTATCATTGTTCGTATTGACGTGCATGGCCCAACAAGAAGAACCCGACATACTCTCGGCACATGGTGGTGTATTTGCTGCACTAGACTGGACAAATGAAGAATTAGCGGAAGTTTCGGCACTGCATTCCACTGCTTCACATCATAAATTAATGCAATATATAGCGGTTAGTTTAACTTCCACATGTAAAGAATAATGAAGTACGTCTCTGAAATCTATTTTTTTAGGACAAACTAAGCAGATCAGATATTGATGAAAAATCGCGACGAAGAATTGAGAAGTTTCTAAAATTGAAACGCCCGCCAAAGTTTTTGGAGACGTTCCTGTCAGAAGCTGACCGCAAGAAGGTTAGTATTTACCTTAGAAAAAATTTATTATTTTCGACTCTCAAGTGTAGGAATGTAGTATAATATGGGCTTTAAGAAAATTTGAAGGTTCGTTTTGGTACTGGTACGACCTTGTTTTGAGATAGCAGTGAACGAACTGATCAAAATTTTTGATCGTAATTCTAAATGCAGGTTGAAGAAAATCGAAGCATTGAAGGCAGCATTTGAACAATGTGCTAAATACATTTTCTTATGAGAACAGCCTGGGGATTCTTAAGCGATTTTGGTCAAATAGCAACGTAGTCAAACATTCACGACCGAAGAAAGCTCTAAACTTTTGCCCATACCGTAACTTTCATCTGCGCATTCAGCGTTCTCGAGTGCGGTACGCCACAAAGTCGTGTATTTATACTCATTGGACACTCCCTTTGAGCATTTGGCGCTCAGAACTTGTTTAAACTAACTGTTTGAAAAATTTTCAAAACATTTCTTTGTCCTGTGATCGCCTTCTTTAGCCGAAACCAAGATTATCAAAAAAACCCTCATTAGTTGGGCTGACGTACCGTCACCTTCGTCGCAGCCTAAATTTATTAGTGATTTTCCTTCTAGATGCAAGTCAAAAAGCTGGCCAAATATTCTTACAAGACTTCGTGCTCGATTGTCAATAAACCTTGGCACTGTGATCCAAATTATAGTAGTGTTTCTTAAGCTGTCAGCCAAGATTGGTAGCAAGACTCCACTTCAGCAAG